ATTTTTTTTTTTTTAATTGTTTTTGTTCTTTTTTTAGTGTGGAAGTTGGTGTTCTTTGTTCTCTGTTCTCTCGTGTTTGTGTTCGTTTGTGTCTGTGTTTTGTATGGATGTTGGTATAAGCTGTAAATTGCAGTGTGTTCTGTGGTCGTGGCTCCTGTGTTGACGTCCAGGTAACTTTATTTGATTATTAAAGCTTTGTGTTTCGTGTTTAGTTTGTGCTCACGATTTTATAGAAAAGAAATGACACCATTCGTATGGTGGTTGTCACATGACACCATTCCTATTTGGTTGTCTGTCAGTCATGGAAAATGGTATTTGAATTTAGAAGATTAAATCCTCATGGAGTTGTTTATTATTATAATGATTATATTTATTATTATCATTATTACTATTATTGTTATTGATAGAGTATTGTGAATATTTACCTTATTATTATTTTTGGTAATGGTAATGCGTTTCAACCTACCTTTAATAAGACAAAAAGTATATGTAGATGACAAAGTTAATAAAACAAAGAAAGCATTGTTAGGATAAACATCATCATTGACATGATATATAGCTATATAAATCATAAACATTCTTAATTTGGGGCTTTGTTCTGAGACTCGTACGTGATTGCCGCAGACTTTGATTCAGAACGGCATTTGTTGCAGCCTATTATTTTCACTTCCGACGTTATTCTTTGCCTTTGCAGATTGTAAATATTAATGGGTATAATTTTTCCCTCTTATTTTGAGAGTTGTTATATTTTCCTTATCTTTTTATGGTTGCTTTGTAAATATATACCAAAAAAAAAAAGAAAAAAATTACATGTTTACTGTTTTGCAATCATTTAATGAACATAAACTAGTAGCAGAGATGGTCAAGCATTCACTGTTGTTGACGTAATTCTTTACCGTATAGACTTGTCCCAAAAGCCACATCACAAAAGACATTCAACTATCTTAGTGTACCTTTTGGGTACTGTCCGAGAGGAGGATTGATGGAGGACTCTATCCCTATTCTACATTACTAAGTGTACGACTTCTCCATTTGTGTAAATTATAATATCACAAAATAAGGCATTCTTCTCATTTTATTCTTTTTGTTTATTTATTAAACAAATAAAAGACAGCAGAAACTCAGGAGCGTAAGCAAAGTTGGGCTACGCTATGATTGTCACTTTCTGCATTTTTATATGTATGTCAGAAATTGATATTTTTGTTACTATTATTGGTGTTGTTATGGTTATGACTCTTGATATTATGGATTAGTAGTTTCAATATTGTTACTCACTATACTACTACTACTACTACTACTACTACTACTACTACTACTACTACTACTACTACTACTACTACTACTACTACTACTACTACTACTACTACACACCACACCACCACCACCACCACCCACCAACCACCACCACCCACCACCACCACTATCGTTATTGTAATTGGTCCATGTGCTGCATGTTGCTCAAACAACAATTACTATGCACAATGTTAGTCAAGTGAGAGGCATGTATGGTCTGTTATGGCACTGCTTTTCACAATTGAAACCCGATGTCTGGCTGGGCAATTGGACACAAGTCAGGTCCTAGACATATACAAGACAATTTGAACTGCACCTTAATTTGTTGTCTGTACAGTATCCACCATAAGCAGGCCCGTGATACCAAATTTCCTGGCAATTGCAGGCTGCAGGTGTTCTGTAGAATCATTTTACCATTATTTTTATTCTTAAATCATGGCATTGGAATGATGTTCATATACTCTTTCAGTTCACACTGATAACATCACGAAACAACCGTCTGTGAATGAAAAGCTATATCAAACTCTGTGGTTGCCTTGGGTAATGAAGTAGAAGAAATACTTGTGTCCTAACAAGTAAATGTACAGATAAAGCCACAATGTATTTTTTTTTGGGGGTGGGGGGGGGGTGGGGGGAATAATACTTATTGTATTTATCTGTAATTCATTGATAGATTAATTTGACACTTCAGGATATATGAAGAAAGCTCAAATATAGCAGAGAAATTATTAATGATTCATCAAGTGTTGTTTTCAACCAGCACTTTTCATCTCTATAAAAACCAAGGGCTATAAAGAGTCTAAAAGAGTCCTATAGATTTTCCTCCTCCTGCTGCTCCTGCTCCTCTTCTTCCTCTTCCTCCTCATGCTGCTGCTCATCCTCCTGCTGCTCTTTCCTCCTCTCCTCTTTCTCCTCCTCCTTCTTCTCTATTTAGTTTGGATTCGGTTTCTATTTGGAACTAATACTTCTGATGGTTCTAGGATTTTTTTTTTAATATTCATAACAATGCAAATATTTTTATGAAGGATTAAGGGTTTTTGTTCTTTATGGCTATTGATGCAATTGTTGATGTTACTTATTTTATGTTAGCCATAGCCTTGTTCTCTTTTCCAGATGGCAGAAAAGTGGGATGACAGTGCGACGATTCGCCTGAAGTCGTCTATGAAGGTTTCTCACCACCACCACCGCCACCTACTCATCCTCAAGCGATGATTAACGCAGCTAGTAGTTCATTTGTGTCAGCAGATGGAAATGATGATGGGACGCTCGGAGGTCAGCCTGGAGGATATATGCCAACTGGGCCAATGGTTGAGGAACAGGTCGTGACAGTATGTTCAGGCTTGTCTTTGTTTTGTATATGTATTTAATTTGTTTTATTATTGTTCCCCCCCTCAGATTAAAGAATTTCAAAGTTAAAATCACTAGATTCACCATCCAAAGATTATATTGTTATATAATTATGGTGACAGGTGATTTTGATGTTTTTGCTTGGCAGAATAGGGGATTACCCTTGTTGGAAGGCAAAATTGTTGAGAATATTACATGTTTAAAAGGGATATGATGTTAAGTGGATGAACGTTATTTTAACCCCTTCCCACTGGGTGGCACTTTTGTCAATGGCAATGGGAAACTGTCCATGCGTGTTAACCCCATTTTAATGGCCCACTAGCCAACCTTTAATTCGGGGTTAGTAGTTTATGTTATATTTGTAGATGCAGATATTATTTATCAACTTCCCTGAATACTTGAAATTAAATTTTTCCTTCCTTTAACCATTATTACATCCTTTTCCCACCCACGGAAGGCTCTCATATGAGGGAAATTGAGCGGACACGGCTGTGCTTTGTGTGCTGCAATCAGTCTCTGACAAAAACTTTGAGTCAATCCGGCCTCCATGAACCACTCCCATCCCCCTCCTGGTCCTTCTCACAGATGTCTTGGGATACAAGCTGGAGGATGGACGCTTGCATTCACAGGTCAGAAATAATTGTTTATTTTATATGTGTTTATTTTGTCCGTGTGTAGGTGATTTGGTGGTGGTTATGTTACGTCATGTATTTGTTCATTGTATATTATATTACATTGTTTCTGTATTACACAGTGAGTTTGCTTATTTGATGGTAGATGGAGTATTATATTAAGTGTGTGAAAACATTTTTGACTCATGTTATTGTGTGTGATTTTACACATTTGTTGTATTGATGTTTTATAAATATTTTTTGTTGCAGGTTGTATGCAAAGCGTGCTATCATCTGCTTGACATTATAGATGAGTTGCAGCAGACCTTAACAGAGTCAAAGACAGATGTCAGAACAAAGTTTTTAGAAACTGTCCAGAAACTGAAACTGAAGTATCCAAGGACAGATAAGGTAAGAACTGTCTTAATGAGCTTTCCTTACATTTTATCCTTTTGATCAACACAACTAGATTAGAGTCGGTAAAGCAGGGGAATATTGAGAAAGTGGATATAACTATTTTGTCATTGTGGGAAGTTTTCCAATATCCCCCCCCCCCCCCTGTTCTGTCACAGGTCTTAATATACTTGAATTTGCCCAAGGCATATCTTTGTTTGCGTAATGTACACTGTCTTTACTGGTGGAGCCCATAGCAATTCATCATTTGCAGAGCTTTACACGGCTTGATCAGTATAATTTGTCAACATAGACCTTGATTTCTGCTGATCACACGATATTGGATTTTAGTTGCTCATGTTGTTTTTCTCTCAATCTTTTCTTATGCTGAAAAGAGCTTATTGCATGTAGGACTTTTGTTCAATTCCTCAGTTATGAGTTTGACAGGTATTTTATGTCCTTACAGATGCTAAAACCCAGATGTCTGGATTGCATCCAGATGTCTCAAACATCTGCTAGGGCGGGGCAGAGGAAGAGGCTGGGAAATCTTCGGTCTGGGATATGAGTCGTGGGGAGAGGAAGAGGGCGAGGAAGAGGTTAGGGCGAGATACGTTCTGAAGTGATTGTCGGAGCGTCATGAATGGCAAATGAAAAGGTAAGAATTGAAATATTTGTTTCTATAAAAGAAATAGTCAGTTGCCTTTTCTTTTAAAGAAGATAATACTGAGTAGAGAGAAATTGACTTTGATGGTAGTGCTGCTCGTGTAAGAGGACTTTTTTAGTGATTAGATATGCTTTCAAACCTTGTTTTTTAAAAGGCCCCTTTATTTCAGGGCCAGGGATTTTGCCATGAAGGGATAAGGACAAGATGCAATATCATCAAAGTCACACCAGCCTCAAACATACCAAGATAATAGTAAGCAGATGGCTCACCTGTATTGCGATCTCTCAGGTGCTCAACCCAAGTCTTCCCAACAAGTGATCGCTGTATCTGGAACAGCAAGATGGGAATATAACATGGAATGACTTGAGCAAGTCAGATAACTGATGAGCACAATGTGTGTCTAGTAAGGAAAGAGATTTGTAACTCTGTGCTTGGAGAATCCTTTCATTATTGGATAGGTTCATACCTCTGAGGTAGCCTTAATGAATACAGAAGTAGAAGAATACACACATAAAGAGTGTGAATATTGTGTAGATATAAACTATTATTGATTGTTTTTTTGATGTAACATAGTGATTCCAAGGTGTTTTATCAATATTGTGAAAACTGTCTAAGTGTGCCAAGGGGTTTTTATTCCATGGGGTAATATAAATGTGAGTCTAGATTTCATAGGAGACAAGTGCTCATCTGGAATATCCAAGCAAGGGATCATTTCCATGGGGAAAAGTTAGATATAGAGCTATGGGATCTGTGTTGTTTGGGCAAGGAGTGCAAAGTGGAAATTTTGACAAGTTGCAACCTAAATGTCATGGGAACGAATAGTGTTGCCAAGACACTCGAGGTGGATTTGTTTAACTGTCCAGCTGAGACACAGACAGATGTTCCTTTGTTGCTACTCCTTGTCTCAGAAATGTATCACCTGTCAGTGAATATGATCAGTTCTTAATTAAAGAATACATAGGATAAAATACGAGAAGGAGATGGAGGGGGGATGATAGAGAAGTGGAAGATCTTCACAGTGGACAAGTTGAATGCTCATTACTAGCATCCCACCTACATTACATCATTGATGATGGGAGTGAACATTTGAATGTACAAAATGAGATGTTTACAAAGACACTACAGCAATCTACAGAAAGATAAAGACTAATTTTGCCTAGCTATCCCTTTAGACAAAAACTTCTTCCAATCTCTTCTGTTGATGTCTGAAACTGATGTAGTGGTTTCAGAGAACAATGATGATGTCCCTGTAGAAAGTGTTACATGCATTATGCATGAGGTTGATGAAAGCTCAGGTATTGATCATTCATATATTGAGGTTAGTGAGACATTGAATATAGCTTCAGAGATTCACACCAAATATATGGAAAATAATTCAGATGAAATGCAGAATCTTCTTGCATCTCAGAGAGAGAATGACAGGAACATCTCCCAGAAAATAAAAGTAGAAAGTGAGCTTGTGATATTTTAAAATGTATAGAGAAAGTACAGAGACAGAGACATAGAGAGAGAGAGGGAGAAAGAAAGAGGAAGATCGATAATTGAATATATCTATCTATAAAAAAGGAAAAGAAATATAGTTCTCTGTTTTTGTCTCTCTCCATTTCTTTCTCCGTTTACACACATACCCATAAATGCATCGAAGTTTTCCCTTTTTCCCTTTTCCCTTTTTACCTTTTCCCTTTTTACCTTTTTCCCTTCTCCCTTCTTTGTTCTCGCCTTCCTAGGACGCTGTTTCGGCTGCGAAAGCAAGTTCCTTTGGGTCGACTGGTGGGCACGGACAGTGAATAGTCTTTGAGGAAAGATATAGGTAATAAGGTAGACACATGTGTGAATAAATAGACATATATACAAGGAGATATATATGGAGGTAGATTGGTAAACAGATAGCTAAGACGATGAATTGATGGAATGATAGATAATTTAAGAGAGAGAGAAGGCTGACAAAGCGGAATAATATCGCTTGCTTTTAAACCACTTATTTAGTGCATACCTTTAGTCAATCAGATCGTTAGCGAAATAGCAACAAAAAAATCTTTGGGTGATTGGATAGAGATATAGAGATACAGAGCAATCCAAGCTGTTAGTGAATAATGGACAATAACTTTTTCACTTACCATAAACACCATGCATATACGAATGTAAGTTGTTCTAAAGTTGCATTTCGATTATTTCAAAGGAAAATACATATGTAATATATGAATGTGCAATGAAAAGATTCCTTAAAACGTTGGAAGAGTAAAAGCTCAAAACTATTTTTTCGGTTTGATGAGCATATATGTTTACGCCGAGGAAGAACACGCACTATTGCTCAATTTAATACATTAATTTGGCCATAAGTCTGGTTCATTAACAAAGCCGCTTCATCAAGAGAAGAAAAGTCATTTTGCCTTCTCGAGAAAGAGAAAATGAAAGAAGTATCAAATTAAGCGGAAATTGAGCCCAGCTGCCAGAGCGAGGCCACTAAAAGGAGCCCTTGCGCCCGGCTGAGACACAAACCCCTTTGATTACTCGCGAGATAAGGGGAGGAACAACCCCTAATTGCGAAGCCACGACGACTAGGGTAAGAGCGCCATCCTCTGTGGGCTTTTTTTTGCCAAATTGCATCAGAATAACTCCCGGAAAAACGACCTTCTAGGAGCAATCCGAGGGCTGTTTGGTGACGTCACTGTCCTTCCGTTCGCGCATAAATTACGCGGGATACAAATAGAAGGCTTTTTGTGCGGGACGTGAAGGGAATTTCTAAGAAATGCGTCTTGGATATATCTTCTGGTCTTTTCTTAAGCTTTCTTGAACAAAGAATAAGTGAGCGGTCGATCTAGCGAGAGAGAGAGAGAGAGAGAGAGACAGAGAGGAGACGGAGTGAGGAACAAAGGGGAAAATGAAAGACAGAAAAAAGAAAGAGACAAAGAAGGGAGGAGAATGGTTATTCATATATAAATGTGTGTATATATATATACATATACATATACATATACATATACATATATATATAATATATATATATATATATATATATATATATATATATATATATATGTATATATATGTGTGTGTGTGTGTGTGTGTGTGTGTATATATATATATATATATATATATATATATATATATATATATATATATATATATATATATATATATATATATATACATATATATATATATACATATATATATATATATATATATATATATATATATATATATATATATATATATATATATATATATATATATATATATATATATATATATATATATATATATATATACATACACACATATAATAATATATATATATATATATATATATATATATATATATATATATATATATATATATATATATATATATATATATATATATATATATATATATATATAATATATATATATATATAAATATATATATATATATATATATATATATATATATATATATATATATATATATATATATAATATATATATATATATAATATATATAGTATATATATATATGGTATATATATATATCTCGTCTCTTCTGTTATTTTTTTTCCTTAGTTTCGATTTTCGCTTCTTAGGCATATATGAAAAGTATCAGCTTTCGTCTAGGTAACCATTCAATACACTTTTTTTATTGGATTCCTGATTGTCATGACAGTATATTTGGTATCCGGTGTAATACTGAGACGAAGACGGGGTAGGGAAAGGGAGCGGAGGAAAGGAGGCAGCGAGATAGTGTAGAGGGAGACCTGTTGGTGGAAGGCAGTGTCAAGTCTCTGGTATTTTATTCTTATGATTATCGTTATCATTTTCTCTTTTTAGATTTGAGAAGAAAACAGAATTAATTGGTTATTGGATATCTCAATGGTCATTGTTTATCAACTGATAAATACAATAACTGCGAGACGAAGGAAGAGAGAGTCTGCAACAGGGTATGGCAACGTTGCCACTCTACGTGTCCTGAGGAACGCATTTTTGCCTCACACTCCATGGAATATGGCTCTTGAATCTGGGAGATGTTTCAACAGAGCATCATTGCAGCATTAGTCACCACCAGCTTCCTAGCATGGACAGTTCGGTATAGTTTGTTTCCCACAGCCATGTAGTACAAGGTAATATGTGTCTGTAATGGACAGAATGACCGAAAATAAAATACTTTTCATGGTACTACCTTCGAAAGCTTATAATAAGTGCAATACGCTCGTTGCACTCGCATTTAACTTTGTATGGCACCACTTTATCCCCCTGTGCGGACTACTTCAGATATCCCGGTGCCCGTTTTCTGATTTCTTCGTTTTTTCATTATTGCATTATGTTATTCCTTACCAGTTCAACTTTCAACATACAATGAAGTGAAGAGGGAATTTATTTCGCTGTGTAGAGACCTGACATATCAGTTTCTGCAATGTCATGTTTTTAGATATTTTATTCTAACGTTTTTTATGGAATTCCAGTGCTTATTTTTATTATTCCATCTCATATCTCTGTATTTTTTTCATCACTACTGGTTTTTCTCGACCTGTGTTTTGATTGGAAAGTTTTTTTTACTTATGTAATTTTCTTATTTTGTCTTTTTGTTATCTTATTTTTCTTGTATTTTTTGCCATGTATTCTAAGTGAGAGAGAGAGAGAGAGAGAGAGAGAGAGAGAGAGAGTTGAAAGAGAGAGAGCGAGAGAGAGAGAAAGAGAGAGAGAGAGGAGGGAGAAGAGAGGAGAGAGGAAGATGAGAGAAGAGAGAGAAAGACGAGAGAGAGGACGGAAGAGAGATGCATGAGAGAGTGAGAAGAGAGAGAGAGAGAAAGGAGGAGTGTGAGAGGAAGAGTGAGGGAGCGCGG